AGGGCAGGGGTTGCTATCTTTGATCTTGACTATGATGCTATTCTTGCTGCCATGTATGCTGTGTCTACTAGTGATGAGGGTGACTGTTACCTGTGTGTTCTGCCTGACCCGGGCATTGAGGCTGCTGCTCTAGGTGCTGGTGAGGCGGCTACTCTAGGTGCTAGTGCGTCTGCTGCCCCAGGTGCTGGTGAGTCTGCTCTGTCAGGTACCACGTCGGCTCAGGCCTTACACACCTTCACCCTTGACTCGGGTGCTTCCCACTCCTTCTTTCGAGATCGCACCACACTTACGCCGCTTAGTCGGCCGGTGGCGGTCTCCCTGGCGGACCCCTCTGGGGGTCCTGTCCTTGCTAGCTTCTCCACTGTCTTACCATGTCCGGCAGCCCCCTCTGGCACCCTGTCAGGTCTCTACCTCCCCTTGTTCTCTACGAACTTGGTAAGTGGTGCTGATCTACAGGATCGGGGGGTTGACCAGTTCACTCCTGCGAGTCAGCGGGTGACCCACTGTACGTGTGCTCGGACGGGCCGACACTTGGCCACGTTTACCCGTCGGCCGGGGTCGAGCCTGTACACACTGACTACTGAGTCTCCTCCGGTTGCTGCGTCTGGTCAGGTAGTTGCGTCGAGTCAAGTGTCTACTACAGCATCCGGGTCTGGTCCTGAGTCTGCTCCCTGCTCGTGTCCTCTCCTGTCCCACCAAACTCTCCTTTGGCACCACCGCCTTGGCCACCCCTCCCTTCCTCGTCTCCGAGGCATGGCCTCCCGTGTCCTTGTCTCTGGTCTCCCCCAATCCCTCCCTCCCCTCCCTCTGGAACCTGCCCCTACCTGCGTTCCCTGCGTCGAGGGGCGGCAGCGCGCCGCTTCTCACTCCTCCGAGTTTCCTCCGACAGAGGCTCCTCTGCAGACTCTTCACATGGACGTGTGGGGCCCCGCCCACGTCCGTGGCCAGGGTAACGAGCGTTATTTCCTGTTGGTGGTTGACGACTCCTCGCGTTACACCACAGTGTTCCCCTTGCGCAGCAAGGGTGATGTCACTGAGGTGTTGATCGACTGGATCCGCGCAGCTCGTCTCCAACTCAGAGAGAGTTACGGCTCGGACTTTCCTGTTCTGCGTAGGCACTCTGACAGAGGCAGGGAGTTTTCTTCTGCCCGTCTAGGAGCGTTTTGTCGTGCACAGGGCATCCGCCAGACCTTCACGCTTCCGGCCTCTCCACAGCAAAATGGGATTGTTGAGCGCCGCATTGGCATGGTCATGGACGTCGCTCGTACGTCCATGATCCATGCGGCTGCTCCCCATTTTCTGTGGCCGTTTGCGGTTCAGTACGCAGCGCATCAGCTCAACCTTCAACCCCGGGTCTCCTTGCCAGAGACCTCCCCCACCTTGCGGTGGACGGGGAAGGTTGGCGATACGTCTGCGTTTCGGGTCTGAGGATCTCGGGCGTTTGTCCGCGACTTGTCTGCGGACAAGCTGTCCCCCCGTGCTGTTCCCTGCGTCTTCCTTGGCTTCCTCCCTGACGCGCCTGGTTGGCAGTTTTACCACCCCACCTCGCGCTGTCCTCCCAGGACGTCACCTTTGACAAGTCGGGGCCTTACTACCATCTCTTTCCCTACCGCACTACGCCCCTCCCCCCGCCGCCGCTCTTCCTTGCGCCGGGTCCTCCCCCGGTAGACCCCCTCCCCCCTCAGGGTCTTGCCCCGTCAGGTGTGTACCAGGTAGACGCAGTCGAGCCTGTCGAGGTAGCTGTTGACTCTGGTGCTGCTAGGGGTGCTGAGCCTTGGGGTGCTGAGTTTGGGGGTGCTGAGTTTGGGGGTGCGGAGCCTGGGGGTGCTGAGCCTGGGGGTGCTGAGTCTGGGGGTGCTGAGCCTTGGGGTGCTGAGTCTGGGGGTGCTGAGCCTGGGGGTGCTGAGCCTGGGGGTGCTGAGCCTGGGGGTGCGGAGCCTGGGGGTGCTAGGTCTGCTTCGTCGAGGCGGGAACTACTCTTTCCGCAAGAGCCGCGCGAGTGGTTTGCCCGCCGCTGGAGCCGTGCTGCTAAAGCTGGAGGTACTACTGTTGCTACTGGTCCTGGAGGTGCTCGTACTGGCGGTACTGGAGCTGCTGGGACTGGGGGTGCTGGTGGGGCTGCTGGAGTTAGTCATGCTGGAGGTAATACTGGAGCTGCTGGCGGTGCTGGAGCTGATAGTCCTACTGGAGTTCGTGCTGCTGGAGCTGCTGGAGCAGGAGCTGCTGGGGGTGTTGGCGCTGGTGGTTCTGCTGGCGCTGGTGCTTCTGAGGGTGCTAGAGTTGTCGCTGTTGGAGCTGGAGGTGCTGCTGGCGCTGGTGCTGCCGCTGGGGGTACTCGTGCTGTCCCTACTGTTTCTCGAGGTGCTGCGCGGCCGAGGCCGTACTTCGTTCCGCTCCTTGAGCAGGTTCTTGGTCTCCCACCCTCTACTGGTCTTGCTCCTCCCTTAGAGTGCCCACAGCCTGTCCAGTCGCGGTCACAGTTGCAGCCCGCCTCCCCCCTACCTGCTCCTTCTCCCTACACGGGTCCTACTGGAGGTCTTGCTGAGCGTCGTGAGCCTGCCTCTCGTCTTGCGTCGCCTGTTCGTGCTGCTCGCACTAGTAGTCGTGCTCCGCATCCGCGTCCTCCTGCTGTCCCCGGCACACACCAGATGGCACTGCGTCCTTCCACTGCTCCTCTGCGTGTCCCGTTGCCGTCTCCTCCAGAGTCCTCTCTTCCTACTCTTGCTGACCCGGAGTCTGACTCTCTTCGTGCTGCCAGTCCTACTGTCACGCGCCTCCTGGCTACTGTTGTCAATGACCCTTCCTTTGAGTCCACTGCTGCGTCTACCTTGGTTGCTGAGCTTGTCGACTTTGCTGCTCGTTGTCGTCTAGACTACGCTGCTAGTCTTGTTGCTGAGTCTGAGTCTGTCTGTCCTCCGTCCGTCGGGGGTGAGTGTGCTCTTAGCACGGACGTCCTTGAGGACAGGCAGGAGGAGTTCCAGTGTTTTGCTACTGCTTTGCCTCATCTAGTGTTCACGCTGATTGCCCCTGAGGGAGACCCGGATGCACCAGACATCCCGACTCCTCGATCGTACGCTGAGGCGATCGAGGGTCCCTACTCCTCACAGTGGCAGTCAGCCATGGACGCAGAGATGGCTTCCTGGAAGTCCACAGGCACCTACGTCGACGAGGTTCCCCCACCTGGGGCGAACATCGTCAGTGGCATGTGGATTTTCAGGGTAAAGCGGCTGCCGGGTTCTCCGCCTGTTTTCAAGGCGCGTTACGTGGCTTGAGGCTTCAGTCAGCGGCAGGGAGTTGACTACTTTCAGACCTTCTCTCCCACCTCGAAGATGACCACTCTTCGGGTGCTGCTGCACATAGCCGCTCAGCGCGACTACGAGCTTCACTCTCTTGACTTCAGCACAGCTTTCCTGCAGGGCAGCCTGCACGAGGAGATCTGGCTGCGCCGCCCACCTGGCTTCACTGGGTCGTTTCCTCCTAGTACCCAGTGGAGCCTCCGGCGGCCAGTCTACGGTCTCCACCAGGCGCCGCGTGAGTGGCACGACACACTGAGGACTACACTTGCGGCTCTTGGGTTTGCTCCGCCTACGGCCGACCCGTCGCTGTTTCTGCGCACCGACACCTCTTTGCCGCTGTTCTACATCCTCGTGTACGTCGACGACTTGGTCTTTGCCACTGCTGATACTACTGGACTCGCCCACGTGAAGTCGGAGCTGCAGAAGAGACACACGTGCACAGACCTGGGTGAACTGCGCAGCTACCTTGGCTTGCAGATTACCCGGGACAGAGCACAGCGCACCATTACCCTGACTCAGTCACACATGGTGCAGCAGATCCTTCAGCGCTTCGACTTCACGTACTCCTCGCCTCAGGCCACTCCTCTGTCTACTCGCCACTCGCTCTCAGCTCTGCCTTCGGATGAGTCCGTAGAGCCAGTGGCCCGTACCCTGAGCTTGTTGGCTGCCTCATGTACCTGATGACCTGCACACGACCTGACCTAGCATACCCTCTTAGCATCTTGGCACGCTATGTTGCTCCTGGGAGACACCGACCAGAGCACATGGCTGCAGCGAAGAGGGTGTTGCGCTACTTGTGCAGTACGTCGGGCATGGGACTAGTGCTTGGAGGGCGACGTCCAGTGGTCCTCACAGGTCACGCAGACGCTTTTTGGGCTGACGACCAGGCTACGCAGCGGTCGTCACAGGGTTACACCTTCAGCCTTGGCTCCGGCTCTGTTTCGTGGCGGTCTACCCGCTCGTCCTCTGTTCTCGGCTCCAGCTGTGAGGCTGAGATCTACCCGGGGGCCATGGTTGCACAGGAGCTACGCTGGCTCACCTACCTGCTGACTGACCTAGGAGAGCCGCCTCGTTCTCCTCCAGCTCTGTACGTAGACAACAAGGCCATGCTGGCCTTGTGTCGGAAGCACAGACTGGAGCACAGAACTAAGCACATTGCTCTTCGCTACTTCCTTGCTCGTGAGCTGCAGCAGCGTGGTTAGTTGCGCCTTGCTTACGTGGCCTCTGAGGCCAACACTGCTGATATCTTTACCAAGGCACTTCCGCCTTGTGATCATCAGCGCTTCTGTACGATGCTAGGTCTTGTGCCTACTTGGCCTCACTTACTCACTTCTTGACCTTGCTTGTACTGTGATCTTTCTATGCCTGCACTTGCTTGTTTACCTTATATATGATCTTGCATGTGAACTGGCCTTGTGGCCTTGCTCTTGTGCTCGGACTGTGTGGTGACGTTCTGATCCACCCTGAGCTTGCTTTTCTTTGCTTGACTGGTCTTGTGACCTCTTGTTCTCCCCCACTTTGCCTATGGGGGTGTGTCAAACTCATATGCTATAGTCTGTGTAGGCTGTAGTGGGGTAGACAATATGGGGTGCAACACTTTTAGGTTTTCCTACTTGTACCCACCTGCTTGCTAGTTCATTCATTCCTTCCTCATTTCTTCACATGGACCTCTTTGCTCTGGGTTACGCTGCTTCTGACACCATCATGACGCTCTTCAGAATAGTCAAGAACTACGACATGCCAGCGTTTCTGAAGCTGGAGTTTATACGAGTGAGTCGCCTCTCTTTTGCCAGTACAAGGTGGGTAGATGGGTGCATATGGCGTCAGAGGGCTGGACCTCTTTGCTCTGGGTTACGCTGCTTCTGACACCATCATGAGGCTCTTCAGAATAGTCAAGAACTACGACATGCCAGAGTTTCTTAAGCTGGAGTTTATACGAGTGAGTCGCCTCTCTTTTGCCAGTGCAAGGTGGGCAGATGGGTGCACAGGGCGTTAGAGGGCTGGACCTCTTTGCTCTGGGTTACGCTGCTTCTGACACCATCACGACGCTCTTCAGAATAGTCAAGAACTACGACATGCCAGAGTTTCTGAATCTGGAGTTTATACGAGTGAGTCGCCTCTCTTTTGCCAGTGCAAGGTGCGCAGATGGGTGCACAGGGGTTCAAAAGGGTGCACAGGGGATCGGGGAGGGCTGAAATCTCTTTGTTCTGGGCTACGCTGCGTCTGACATCATCACAACACTCTTCAGAATAGTCAAGAACTACGACATGCCCGAGTTTCTGAAGCTGGAGTTCATCAGGGTGAGTCGCCAATTGGGTGCAAAGGGGTGCAGATGGGTGCACAGAAGAGGGGATCGGGAGGGGGTGGATCTCTTTGCTCTGGGCTATGCTGCTTCTGACATCATCACGACACTCTTCAGAATAGTCAAGAACTATGACATGCCCGAAGTGTTCGCTTGAGACCCTGACATCTTATCTCCATGCCTACCCGTACATACCTGCCCTTTCCTTGTTGCAGGAGGTTGGGTTCTTTCACATGCGGATAGCAGACGGAGTGGGTTAAGTCATGAGTTAATTTCCTTGTCTCTCCCTGTCCTCTCTCGTGTTGCAGGAGGTTGGGTTCTGTCACATGAGGATAGCAGACGGAGTGGGGTCGGTGCTACAACTATCGGGCTTAATGGCCAAGCTCTGCAAGATAGCCAGAAACGCAGCTCCTAAGTAGATGAATTGCCACTCACTGGTGTGCGTAGGCACAGCACCACAAGCTTGCTGCTGATCGGTGCTGCAACTATCAGGCTTGATAGCCGAGCTGGGCAAATTAACCAGAAACGTTGCTCCGAAGTAGGGCCATATTTGTTGATGAATTTGCATATAGAGTTGTAGATGACCGTAAGAGAACTTTCAATGCAATGCGACTAATCAAGCTCCAAAGTGGTCTGAAGGCCTGATTTCCTTGACTCTCTCTCTGAGGCTAGCTCATCTCCCCCTGAACGTTGTCCCCACAAACGCCCATCATACCGTTTTCTAGATATTGGTGGTACAGATAAGGTTGCGTTACACAGTCCGCTATAACAGATAAGGTGTACATAAACAATCACTTACTAAGAATTCTTCCAGCAAGTTCAGTCACAGCAATCGCACCATCACTCGGATTCGCGTCCATCGCGCCGTCGCATGCGTGAGATGCAAGGATCAGTGTCCCGCGGGATGGCGAAACCTGAATCGCGGAATTCTGGGTTCGCAAACCACTGAACCAGTCTTTCGTAATGTAATTTCGTCAGTTTGATAACCAGCCACGATTCGCGAAAGGCTCTCAATTCTCACCGCAATTATTCGCAGCAAATTTGATTGCGAGGTGAGCCCACAAAAAATCAACACAATCATCAGTTGGAAAACTCGTGCGATTCGGGCTGCAAAACTCCACACGCCAGTTTACAGCAAAACCAAACCCGCGACTCACGGCAGCTACCTCACGAAGCACAAGTCCCGTAGAATAAGTAGAAGCTAGCCATGCCGTTTCACTTCATCACAAGTTCCAATCATCTTCACCTTCTCATCTTAAAACTACATCGTACCAGCTAGAACGGTTCAGCGTTGCCCGCTACAAACAGAAGCGAAAATGACTCTGGCTAAGACCACTTTCCTTGTCGTCGTCATCGCGTCTGCGATGCTCCTCTCCGCCCCTGCGCGCGTCTCTGCCGCTGCGGCTCCAGGCAACGCGACTGCGCCTGCTACTTCTGCTAAAGCGACCGCTTCTGCTAAAGCGTCTGCCGCGCCTGCTAACAGGACTAAATCTGGAAATGCTACTAAAGTCGCTAACAGCGCGCACGGAGTGGCTACGGCGAGGCTGAGCAAGGGCGCGGGCGAGGGAAAGAACTCCACATGCGCCTACTACGGAAACTACAACGCCAACCCTTACTTCGGCAAGGGACTCACCGCGAAGATTCCTGACGCGCTCTTCAGCAAGCGATGCGGCGCGTGCTTCAAGGTGATCTGCAGCAACGACACGAAGCGCTGCCGCAGCGGCAAGGCCACCGTCACCGTCCGCGTCGTCGGCGCCACCAAGACGGAGGGGAAGCAGCTTTCGCTCTCCGCCATCTCATGGGCGAAAATCGTGCAGGGTTCGGAAACTGCCCCTGTGAACATCACGTACAAGCGCACCAACTGCGTTTCCACCGCCGGATCGGCGGTGCGCGTGCGCAGCAACTCCACCGCGGAGCATTTTAACATTCAGATGGTCGGCCTTGCCGGGCCCGGCACGCTTACCGAGGTAGAGCTTAGCGCGGACGGCAAAAAGTGGGTGAAGCTGACCCGCGACGGAAACAAGGCGATCTGGGGAATCGCGGGCAAGGAGGCGAAGGATGTTGTGGGCGCGAAGAAAGCGATGAGCGTTCGCCTCACTGCGGGACACACCAAGGAGAAGATCACCCTCGCGAACGTCATTCCTGCAGCCTGGAAGCCTCAAACGCTCTACTCGTCCAAGACCAACTTCAAGAAGCTCATGGCTGAGGCCAAGTAGACGTTGTTGTGAAGAATATTCAAGGCGCCGCCTCGGAAGCATCTGTGCTCGTCGAATAAAAACCCATAAGAAGCGGATTCGGTGGCAGAGAGGCGCCGGCAGTTGGGAGACGAGGATGAAGGACGGAAGGTGGTCAAGTGGTTTTTTAGCTTACAAGTTTAATGGCTGAATGCTAGTGGTGGGAGGGGAGTGGGTTAGCGGTAAGGGATTGCATTAGCAGGGGAGTGGGTTGGGGGAGGGGTTTAATAATTGCTCTTACATGCTCTCCTTATCAGTAATATATCGTGCTTGCTTCTGGTAGATTGATCCCATAGTCATGGCCGAGTGAGAGTCTGCCGCCCAACTTTGAGATCACTCAGCCATGGGGGGGTTATTTAGTGTCAGGTGTGGCTGTTTTTGGAACGTGTTTCACACGCAGGACCAAATCATTAGTAATCTGAGGGCGTGTTATAGCACTACTGTACACCTAGTCGACGTTCTCAGTAGACCTGATAACCATAAACCTCCCTTAGTCCCCAGCCTGCTGCTGAAATCAAGAGCCCTGGCCCCTCCACCGTAGCAAAGACGGGTTTTTGCTGCCCCTCCACCCACAACAGTGTGTGATTCGTAACAACTTTAAGCTGCTGCTAAGCTACACTAGAATACCGTACCATACACCCTGCTGCTCATAGACGTAGTTCCAAATCTAGCCCATGATCCCGAGTTTCGTAGGCCTCGGGATTGCCGCGAGTCTCACTCCCCGAGGAGGGGAAGACAGCTGAAGAGCTAGAGGCGGCTCGCACCCACTCCCTGCCATGATGCGCGTCGCTGTTTTCTGCAGAATTGTCAGCGCAATTCTCGGTGTAATTATCGGAAGAAGCACCAGCGAGGCCTGGAGGCTGGAGCTGCAATGTAGTTTCCGGCAGTCCCGGGAGCTCCGATAATGTTTCCTGGTGCCGTTGCTGCGTCTGAATCTTAGAAGCAGGCGTGTGCGGTAACATCGTCGCGAGGTGACTAAGTCGGTCCAGTAAAGTCGCAATCAGAGAGCTTCGTAGCTCTGTCTCCCCCCCTCCCGCTGCTTCCGCGCACCCACTCGCCGAACCTACTCCGGCAGCAGCAGCTGTTGCCGAGCCTGCAGGCCTGGTCGCCGAAGCAGAGGCCCGAAGGGCATCCGCGGCGGCTGACAGCTGTAACGCGAGTGGCGAAGCGGCAGAATTCAAGGACTGCACGAGAGAAGACTCAACTCGCTCAGGCTGCGCAGAAGATGGAAACTTCCCAACATTGGATTGCGCGGGAGATCCGGCAGCAGCAGCACGACGGGTTCCTGTGACTGCTGACGTGGCGGGAGACGCTGCCTGTGACGACATTACACGTGGCAAAGGTGGCCTTTGGCCGGCAGGAGTGGTCCTGACGGCCGGCTTGACTGCGCGGGAAACGGTGGAGGCGAGAGAAACGGGGGAGGGAGGAGTTGTGGAGAAGGAGGGAGAGGGAGAGGAAGGATCATAAGGAGAGGAGGGAGAGGAGGGAGCTGATGCGTTGCTTGTGGTTTTAAGCTCCATCAGAGCTGCTGCTGCGTCGACGGCGATATCCGCGGCGCAATCCGCGGTGCTGGTGACACGTGACGATTCCAGTATGGGAGCTTCAGCGAAGTCGTCGGCGTCTGTTGTGGCGGCAGTTGCAGCGTCGATTAAGGCGTAGAACCGACGCGCAACTTTCTTAGCGGCGCGAGAAGAAGGGTTGACGGCGTACGCGAAAGCTCCCAGAACCTTCACGTTGTGATTGTCGCGAGCTCGCTTTCCGCTTCGCGGAATCCCCGTCGTCAACGCTGGTGCTGCTTCCGTCGCAGCCGTTCCCCTCGCCGCAACCATTGTCGCCACAGCCGTCGCCGCAGCCGTCGTCGCTACCGTCGCCGCAACCGTCGCCGCAGCCGGCGGCGCAGCCTGCGCAGCTGGTAGCCGGGACTTCGTGGCTGCTCGCTTACGTGCTCGGAGCGCGTCGACGATATTCGAGTGCCTCTCAGTGGAGCGGCTCGCAGCACCTCCATCTTCGCGCGTCACTAGTCGCATCGCGGTCGCCTTCAGTGCGCTGGCTTTCGCAGCCGTCGCCGTCGCCTCCGCGGTCGTCGCCGCCGATGTCGCCGTCGTCGCCTTCGCCTTCGCTGTCGTCGCAACCGAAGTCGCCGCCGTCGCTGCTGGGGTGAGGGTTTCATATCTGGCCTTGCGTTTATTTGCTGAACTGGCACCTTGGACGGCGCAATCAGCGGCGCCTTCAACTGCGATACCAACGGCGCCTTTGAAGCCTGGCGACGCATGGGCGTTCTTGCAATGAAGACTGAGCGCGTGTAGCGAGGGGTAGCGCTGCTCGCATTTGCGACATGTGTACGGCCCTCGTAAAGCAGCGGGATTTGATCCGAGGGTCGAGATTGCGACGTTGGGACTCAGCAGATGGAGAAAATCGGCTGCAGACAGGTGATTTGTCGTTTTCGCCTTGAGAGGCGGGGAGTGGGGCCGCGCGGACGAACGTACAGTCGTCGCGAACGGTCGCGGAGCACCGCGTGCGACTGTTTTCATTGCCGTGCGATCCGTTTGCGACGAATGCGACGGCGGATGCGACGCTTGCGATGGCGGCTGCGGCTGTTGCTGCGTCCAGGCGTTCTCTTGCGAGTTGCGTCGGAGGCAGGAAGTCATCGTCGGAGTCACGTCGTTGGCGCCGGTTGTAATGGGTGCTGTGCGGTGGAAGGAAAAGGCGCTCGTGGGTGATGATTATCTGTGAGAGGAAGAGGAACGATGCGAATCAACCATGGAGTCGATTTGACGGAGAATTTAAGTCGACTGGAAAGTCACCCTCGCCCTAAATCAGTGAGTCACAAAAGTCTTCTCTAATTTCTCTATTAGTCAATCGCCTCTCAAACGGAGCAGCTGCTTTAGCTGAAAGGACTAAGATAGTGTCTGCGTCACGTCGGTGAGGTGAAGTCCAATCAGAACAGCAGGCGCGTGTTCGATTGGCCGAGGGACGAAACGACGTGCTGAAGGACTTGCAACAGAAACAAATTATTGATGGCCAGGCGGACGTATTTCTGGCAAAAGCGAAACAGCTGCTGCTGCAGCAGCAGCAGGGGCAAAAGCAGGAGCAGTCGTCAATCGGGCTTGGCTTGTTTCTTGCGTGCAGTTGACTGGAAGGTGGTCAGGGAGAGGTTGACCAAATGTCACGCGAACACGCGACGCGTTGCGGGAAGTGGAGATCGAAGAACGCGAAGCAGAGTGCTGCTGGGTGTGGGAAAGGGAGGGGAGGATGCGTGAGGTGGGTGGGTGGCGGGGAATTTCGGTGGCGAGCAGAAATTTGTGGGCGGGGAGGGAAAAATGGGGAGGGGAGAAAGAAACGTGAAACGCCAAGAGGATAACTGCGCAATGGTCGGCTGGCGGGACGAGGGGCAGGCTGGGGGCAGTGGGGCAGTGGGGCAGGCTGAGGACAGCGCAACGTAACGACTCTTGGGATGGGAAGCGGGGAGGGAGAGGGTGGCGGCGGATAACTGGAAATGAACATGCGCCGTCAAACAGATTTGACGGACTGGTAGGGGAAGGGTGTAGGAAAACAGGTTCGAAGGATGGGTGACGGACGGTCCGTCACTGACGGACTGACGTGACGTCATATCCGAAAAAGGCTGGACATTTGTCCAGCATCCCCCAACCCAACCAGGCCTTCCAAGGGCACTTTCATGTGTGCTGCTGCGCCCACGTAATGCCGGTGCTCCATTGGCTAGTCGTTGTCGTCCGTCGTCTCGTTGTCCAATCGTGAATTGAGGCTGTTTCAAGCCAGTCCGCCGCTCGCGCTATCCCTTGTGCTCTCCCCATTTCCAAGGCTGACACAGCTCTGGTCTGGAATGCGCCCCAACCTCAACCTTTGCCAGCACACGTGCCAGTCAACGGCGTTGTCCTATCTTTTCCATTTGAAAAGTCGGATCTGTCTATCTGAGCTCAACAGACCACGATCGCCGTTGTTCGCGAAGGAGTCTGCACCCAGTCGTTAGAACTGACCAATCCCCCTCAAGAAACCAGTCCATCATCACGGCACGGGACGCGAGTCTCGACGCTGTGACTGGACCGCCGCGTCGATTGGAAGGCCAGGAACGAAATCAGCTGACCTACCTTACGACGAGACTTCTGCGACAGTGACTGATTGGACCATTCAACACAACTCACGTCGCTTATAAAAAGAACAGCTTTTCTCGTAATGGCTTAAAGTGGGATTTGTGAGTAACATCCCTAAAAAACAAATTAAGCTACATTATTTTCTGACCAACCAGTGCGCATGATAGCTTCCATACGTTGCTTCAGCAGTTTTTACCGGCTGATTGGAGCACACAAGGATTCCCAGGATTGTATATCGTGCTCAACGCATAACAAATAACACAAATATTCATGTAGTTTTAAACAAATTCAGAAGTCAACCATCATACTTCCGGCTCCACCTGCCTGAAACCTGCAATGCGTAAAAGTGCAACACAGCAGGGTGCGGATTGGAACACCAGAATAAAGGAGAAAACATAACAGAGCAGGAAAGGAACAAATGGGAGAGAACAAAACAGCACATGAGATAGTACACTGAGATGAATTTGTTGGAACCACTGTCCCACCCATCCCTTAAAACCCACCTGCCTGCCTCCCAGGCGTTGGCTGTGCCGGGTGCCTATCCCTGCCTCCTGCCCAGCTCCTCCCATAGCACCACCACTCTCACCAGCTGCCTTCTCTCCTCCTCCTGCATGCCCTCCTTCCTTGCTCCCTACCCCATCCGCTGCCCTTGCTCCTCCTGACACTCCCACCCCAGCCCCTCCTTCAGTTGCTGCCATATTTCCCACTCCGTCCCCCGCTTCCCCACCGTTTCCCAACCCACCCAAGTCTCCCACAGCCTCCATCCCTGCACCAGTAACCACTCCCTTGCCTCTTCTGCCGCCTCCCCTTCCAACACGCCCCTCTCTCTCCCCTTTCCCTCCTCTCCCCATCCGTCCGCCTCCTCCCCTGGCCCCGCGGTCAGTCCCACCAGCCCCCCGCCCTCGTCCCCTACTTAACCCCCTCCCCCTGCTTCCTCCCCTGCCTCCCCTCTGGTTCTCTCCACTGGTACTCTTCCTAGCAGCAATTCTGATCAGCAGCGCACCATCACTGGCAGCAGCACTAACAGTACCCATAGATTCCATCCCAACTGCGGCAGCAGAACCACCATTAGCAACACTACCACCAGCAACAGCAGCAGCAGCAACACCAGCAGCAGCAGCAGCAGCATCTGCGACCGAACTCGTGCGAAATTTTCCTATCTGCCCGAGTGCCATAAGCCCAGTCTCGGCTTCTTCTGTTACCGCCCCCTTCCCTGCTTCCAGCCCCACCTTCCTCGCTGCTTCCTGCCCCAACGTCCTATCTCCATCTCCCACTACCATCACCTCATCACGATCATCCTCATTTTCTTCGTCCGCTTCCTCCTCCTCTTCCTCCTCCTCATACCCCCAGCCATGCTCCTCATCCTCCTCCTCCTCCCCCTCCTCCTCCTCCTCCCAATAATGCTCTTCCTCTAGTTTTCGCCCATCCTGATGCCCATCCACATGCTTATCTCTCTTCCCATCCCCATGCCCATCCACATGCCTATTTCTCTTCCCATCCTCATGCCCATCCACATGCCCATCTGCCTGCCCCTCTGCACCCCCCACCTCACCTGGAACCGATTTTTTTCCTCCTGCCACTCCCTTCAACTCCTTGCAGTCAACTCGCTTCTCTGCACGGCCCTCACCTCTCGGATGCTCCCTCTCCTCCTCCTCCTCCTCCTCCCGCGTTTTCCGAGCCACCTCAGAAGCTTGCACTCCCTCTCCCTTCAACTCCTTGCACTCATCACCCTTCTCTGCACGTCCCTCACCTCTAGCATGCTCCTTTTCTCCTCCCTTTCCCCCTCCTTCCTTTACCACCTCCCTTGTATCTGCTCCTGCCCCTCCTCCTTCTCCTCGTGCTCCTGCTCCTGCCCCTGCCCTGCTCCTGCCCCTGCCCCTGCCCCTGCCCCTGCCCCTGCCCCTGCCCCTGCCCCTGCCCCTGCCCCTGCCCCTGCCCCTGCCCCTGCCCCTGCCCCTGCCCCTGCCCCTGCCCCTGCCCCTGCCCCTTCCCCTGCCCCTGCCCATTCCCCTGCCCCTGCCCCTGCCCCTGCCCCTGCCCCTGCCCATGCCCCTTCCCCTGCCCCTGCCCCTGCCCCTGCCCCTGCCCCTGCCCCTGCCCCTGCCCCTATTCCCGTCCCTGTTCCTTCTGCTCTGCCAGTATTCGCCTTGATAACAGCAGGAAGACCAATCACACTCACTGTGTTCTCTCCACGCTCTGCATCTCGTTCTCTCGCTACTGCACTTGCCTTCTCCTCGTCTTCTCCCTCCATTCTTCCCTGCTCTTTCTCCTTGACCCCCCGCTTCCCAACTCGATCAATTACTTCTCCAGTTGCAATTTTTCTCGCCGCCTCCCCTCCCCCTCTCACTGCTTTCTGCCTCTTTGCTGCAGGCGTATCCCCGTCCCATTGCCTCTCCCCATGCCCTGACCCTTGCCTCAGCTTCTGTGACCCCCTTTCTCCGACCTCCTTCTGCCCTTCCTTCTTGGCAAACCCTTCAGGCTCCACTTCCTCCCTCTCATCCCCTTCCTCCTTTTCCTCCCCTTCCTCCATTTCCTCCATTTCCTCCCCTGGAAACTCCGCACCTGTTTCCTTCTCCTTCCCACCTGGGCTCCCCTTTACCTCCTCTTCTCCATCCCCATCACTGCCTGTGCCTCGTTTCTTCCCAATCGCACCCTTTTCCCCTTTCACCACACTCACTTGCCGCGTCGCCAAACTCCCTCCCTTTCTTATGCTTCCCTGACCACGCAATATCCTCAAAACCAACGCCTCCCTTTCCTCCTCCTCCTGCGTTTTCCGAGGCGCCTCAGAAGCGCGCACCACCGCCGTCGCATCTCCCTCCTTGTCCTCCTGCATTCCAGTCTCCTTTGAACCCATTCCACCCCTCTTCCTTTTGAAACCGGCAGTCACTCCCTTCCCTCTCGAGCTTCCTCTTGGGTTATCCGCAGCTGCCAGTTCCTTACCTTTTGACTCAGTCAAAGAACTATCCTTCCCCTTTTGTTTTGGACTCACCACCTCGGCAACACCAGCCACAACAGCCGCAGCAGCACCACCACCAACACCACCCTCACCACCCCTCCCTTTCCCCCTTCCCCTCCCCCTTCCAGCCTTAACCCACTCAACTCCTGCCCCTGCCCTCCCTCCTCGTGTTCCCCTCCCCCCCCCATCTCCCCCCTGTCCAGCCCTATTCAAACCCCCCTTGATTAAACCCCCTCTTTGGTTGACCGAGTTGGCTTTGCCTCCCAGCCCACGCACTGCAGGCACTGCTGCAGCAGCTTCACCTGCCGCTCTTGCTGCTGTATTGTCCATAGTCTCTGCTTTTGCTGCTCCTTCCGCTCGCTTTTGAAATGACAGCTTAACAGAAACCCCCCCCTCCGATCCCTTCCCTTTCCCTTTCACGTCACTTGCTCCTTCCCGTCCCTTAAGCTTTTCCCTGCCCTGGCCCAGGCTTTTAATCTTCGGGTTAGGGTTACCACCACTGGTAACACCAGTGTGGTAACCAGCATCACCGTCACCCTGGCCCTCCGAGGGGCTCGAAACTCGTTTTGCTGAAAAGCGTCCCACCTTGTTCTCCCGAGAAACCCCTAACTTACCATCTCCGATACCCCCAACCTGTTGCGTCTGTTCCGACCCCACCTTCTTCCGAGGTGCCTTTGAATCGCTGTCACCAACCCCCCCCACCGAGTCTGTGCGTTTCCGCTTCACAGACTGTCGCCTGGCTGCCCTGTGTCCCGAGGCCTCTACCTCAATTCCTCTCTCCTCACTTCCTTTGTGGGCTTCAGCAGCTGATGCTCCCACTGCTGCTCCAGCTTCTACTGTTCGCTCTTTCGAGCCTCTCCCTTCTACTTCTCTCGCGTCTGCTGCACTGGCTTCTACTGCTGCGGCTGTCGTTTCGGCTTCCGGTCTCACTACTGCTGAGCTTCTCTGCTTCCTTCTCTGGTGTCGCCACTTAGCTTGCTTCTCCTCCTTTTCCTCCTCCTCCTCCTTCCCTGCCTCCTTGTCCTGCTTTTCCTCCTTTCCCCCCCTCTTCTTCTCCTTCTCCTGTTTGCTTATCTCAGCAACACCCTTCAGCAGAAGTTCCAGCAGCTCACCACCTTGCTTCTCCTCCTCTGCCGAGGAATCTGGTTCCTCTCCCTCCTTTCTCTCCTCCTCTACCTCCTCTCGTTCCTCCTCTCCCTCCTCGATTTCCTCCTCTCCCTCCAACCCCTCCACTGCTTCTCCCTCCTCCTCACTCTCCCCATAACCCACATGTCCATCCTCCTCCTCTCCCTCCTCGTCCCCCACTTCTCTCTCCTCCTCTTCCTCCTGTTCATCCTCCTCGCCCTCCTCCTCCTCATACTTTTCCTCCTCCCCCTCCTCCCCCCCCTCCTCTTCCTCATCCTCCTCACTCTCCCCTTGGCTCGCCTCCCCATGCTCACCCTCTCCTTCCTCCTCCCTCCCACACTCTCCCTCCTCCCCCCCCCCCTCTCTTCTCCGCCCCACCAGCCAAACCTTGCACTGCAGCTGCAACAAGCAGCAGCTCTGTAGGATCTATCTCGTTCCCCTCCCCACCCCCCCCTTCACCCTCATCCTCACTCTCCTTCCTATGCTCCTCTCCGCTCTCCTCCTTATTCTGAATCACATCCTTGGCCCTTTTCGACCCTTTTCCTTGTCTCTTAGCCCGCCCTGCCTCACCTGGGCCTCCCTTCTTCCCCTCTTTCACGCCCTTGACTTCACCAGAAGCTTCGGCTATCAATTTGTTTGATTCGTCTCCTTGCCTTGCTGCTGGGGTTTTCCTTGACGCGTTAACAGCAATCCCAGCAGCAGCACCAGCAGCATCTGTGTTACCATTCACAAAAGCACCAGCTGCACCAGCAGCAGCAGGAGCCGCACCAGTGCAATTATCAGCAACAGCAGTACTCGCAGTAACAGGAGTAGTATCCAAAGTGGTTTCTGGTCCTGCTGCTGTTTCTTCTGCTGCTGCTGCTGCTGCCAATACCACTCCTGCTGCTTCTGCTGCTCCTGCTGCTGGTGCCGCTGCCACTCCTGCTGCTACAGGCGCCGCTGCCACTCCTGCTGCTACACGCGCTGCTGGTGCAGGAGCTGCTGTTGCCGAACTGACTGCACTAGCTTCTGCTGCCTCTGCAGCAGCAGCCGCGTCTTGGGGCCCTACTGAACGACTGCCACTGCTGTGCCACACTGCTAAGCGAGTGCTGCCAACTGGCACTTCTGACGCTGTTGCTGATGCCAATTTTGATACCGAAGCTGACGCCGAAGCTGATGCCGACACTGCTGCCGCCCCATACCAGCCAGCATCCGCCTCTCCACTTCTTATTGCCCCCAGAGAAGCATCAGCTACAAGCACAGAGCCAAGCAAGCGAGGGAGAGGAGCCTCCCTTTGAAAACCACCCAACTGAGACGCTGTTTGCCCATCAAAAACCACTTCGGATCCAAACGCCGTTTCCCTCGCAGAACCCTCCCTCTCTCCTTGAAGCGCCTCTCTTTGAAAGGCGTCACTTTGAGTCATTGCTTCCCTCTGAAACGACTGTTCCAGTGCTTTCTGAGTGGCGTCTACAGCAGCTTCAAAGCCAAGCGCGCGAGGGTGAGGAGGAACCGGAGTTTGAACTGGTGTTTGCTGCTCGGGAGCAGCATCAAAGGCCTCTAGAGGGGCGTCGTCAACAGTCACGAAGCCAAGCGCGCGGGGGTGGGGAATCACAGCAGGGGATGAGGGGCCGGATCTACCCCCGGGAAGAAGGGTTCCGAAGGAGCCTAGAACCCTCGCGCCTGCAGCCACTGCTGCTGCCCGAACGCCAGAAACGGCAGCAGCACCAGAAGCAGCAGCAGCAGCAGCAGCAGAAGGAAAAGCTCCAGCAAGTGTGGGTTGAAATTGCAGAGGCGGCGGAGAAGGAAGAGGAGAGGGAAGAGGGGGTGGAAGAAGAGGAGGAAGGGGAGAGGGAGGAGGTGGAGGCACGCCGCTGCCTACGAGATGAAGGCTGTAGCTGCGAGTGAGCTGGCGTTGAGCAGCCCAGGTGAGGTACGTGGTGTTGTCTATGGCTTCCACAGGCACTGTCACTGCTCCTTCTCCCAACCAAGCCTCATTACCACCAGCACCGGCAGCACCAGCACCAGCACCGTATGGCACAGATCCGTCCCTGCCTGCCCACCCGTCGTCCTGAGACGTGAACAGAGCAACCCGCGTCGAAGCATCTCCACCAAACCCACCGCCGCCGCCGCCCGCACTGCCATCACTGCGACTGCCCGGAAAGCTCTCACGCGGATCAGGAGGAGGAGCGCCGTTTTGCGCCACAGCAGCAGTCGTAGAGGCCATTCCGGAGAGAGCAGCCACAGCAGGAGTAATTCCCCTCCGACCAAACCCTAACGCCAACGCCCCTCCAGAACCCAACCCAGGAGGGCCCATAGATCCCACCCCAGGCCCCATCCCAGACCCCATCCCATGACCCATCCCAGAACCCGCCCCTCTTCCTGTCCCATGTCCGTCTCTTATGCCCTGACCCAGCATGGGAGACGAGACGTTGGAAGTTGCCATGTCAGTTGCCACTTTCAGGCTGTTATTATGGATTACCATTTTGTGCCCTCTGCCCATGCCTCCTCCCACACCCATGCCTCCTCCTCCCCCTCCCAAACCAGGAACCCCCGCCCCGAGCCTGCCGGCCCCCGAACCAAGCGCCGAGCCTCCCCGTCCGGTTGGGGAGAGAGGGGCTCCGAGGGAGTAGAAGGAAGGGAGGCGCAGGGCCAAGCCAGACGTGCCTGAGGCTCCAAAGCTTGTGGAGTGAAGCAGCTTGATAGGGGACGGTGCAGGCCGGGTGGATAGTGAGGCGATCGGAATGGCAGAAGCAACAGTGGCAGCCGCGACAGTGGTGGCGGTGGTACTAGTAGCGCCTCCGGCTGCTGCTGCTGCGGACTGTGCTTCCAGTGTCTTCAGTCTGGCCTCCAGCTCCTCTGCCTGCCTTCTCTTCTCCACCAACTCCTGCTGCAGCTGCTTGGTCTGTCGTCAGGGAAATGTTGGAGAGGAAGAAGGGAGCAAAGGAAGATCCAGTTTGGAATCTATTTCTGAGAGACTTTAGCTCCTCTGCCTGCTTCTTCTTCTCCACCAGCTTCTGCTGAAGCTGCTTGGTCTGGTGTCAGGAAAAAGTTGGGAAGCAAAGCGAGATTCAGAGAGGGAGGAGGGGAGGGGGGAGGGGGGGGGGGGGGGGATTGGGCAAAGTGAGGCGGGTGCTCTTATGTCAAACGTTTATTTCGACAGCACTTTAAACAGCTTCTTCTCCTGCTGTTTCGTGCATCAGTTTTGTCGCAGACAGATGAAAAACAGGAGGACCCAAAAAAAAATCAACAACAACATTTTTCATCACATGCATACACTTGCTGCAAGATGGCTGGATACTCATGCTTCACTTCACTGCTTACGGCCAAGAGCATTTTTTGGAATTGTAGAACACGAGACCAAGTTAGCTGGTCATGCTTCGTCGCACTTCCAGCCAGTACCTGAACCGAATGCTGTATGCTCATGCCACTTTTGAGGATTCTCAAGATGAACCCTGCACGCTCATGTCACATTGACAGACTGCTGTATGCTCATTTCACATTGACAGACTGTGTTTCAAGATCACACTGCGTTGCAAAGCAATGTTTCGCAATAAGGATGGTCTGGGATAAGCGTTGTTAACTCGCAATACGATCCTTAAGCAACAATCCTAATTCCATTCTGACAATAGTGAACCAAAATAAATCAATCACACTTCTGAAGGTAAAAAATAAATGAACCAAAAAAAATGAACAACAAGAAAGAAGGTACCTAACTGAAGACTTTTGTTGCACCATCAAACTAACATCGATGGGTAGTACCATTGAAATCGCTCACCTTAGCGTCTGCGTTAAGCTGCATTCTTTCCAGCATCGAAGCTGCTTGGTCCTTCACGGATCCCAACGTTTTCTCCAGAACAACCAATTGCATTTCCGCGTAGCTCGCGCGAATCGCGGAGTCCTTAACTATCTGTTCCGCCACGCCGGCCGTCATTTGCTGGACTCTTCCCGCGAGTTCCGGGTCTGCTACTACCGACGACGCGAGTTGGTGGCTTGGGGTTGACGGAGGAGCTTCTGCCGCTGCGGACGCGGCTGCAGCCGTCGCGGAAGCTTCGATTTCTGGTGATTGCGTTGGTGGAAATGTAGATGTTTGAGTTGGTCGAAGCGTAGCTGGGAGCGTTGGCGGCTGCGTTGGTAAATGGAACCCGCCATGGCTAGGAGCCATTGTCGCAAGGTTGAACGCTGTAGCAGGACCAGACATCAAATTGCTAAAAATAACTCTATGTTAATAAATAGGCAAATGACATCATTTGAGCGACCTCTATCCGTACACAACTGTTCGAGCCCTAAAAAGCAGCAGCGAGCCGCGAGCGTTGAGCGCGATATTAGAGGACAGCAATGGATGAAAGTCAACCTCGAAATGGAAACAGCAATTTCGTTGTTCAAAAACGTGATATAACAGTAACTTCAACCGCATATCGTCCAGAATCAGGGACCATAAAAAAACGCTACGCTAAATAGTAGCCATTGAGCTAAATCGTTAAACACTGAAAGGTCTCACAGGAGCCAGTCTGAGAAAAGGTCAAGCCTTGGGATTTGCGGGTCGGAAAGAGAGGGAAGCAATCTGGCGGCTCGTGGTGTAGATCAAACCCGCAATGTCGCGAAGGAAATCGGCAGCAGCGAACTCAAGAAACGAATGGTCAGGCTCTCGCCTCGACCGATTTGTGTTACAAATCATCGAAACTCGTTCATATTTCATATTGTCATTCACAGACCTCAACTGGTAAGCTGAAGTTTGAGGCTCTTTTGGGCTTGAGTTTACAGCCACCACCTAACATTATGTTCATTACAAGGGTTCGAAACTAAACTAAGTTATGCGCAATGCCTTCCAGTATCACTACTCAGGTTGTAGAACTCTACTGACACCTTGTGCAACAACACATTGCCCCTTATACACATCTTTGGTTATTATCTCAGCACGTCTGCCCAAGCCCACTACCCCCAGCGTCGTCCCCGTCCCCGTCCAACCTGCAAGCCCATCAGACCCCTCATATCTTGCCATTTTCTTCTTAGAATGCATTGTCTGTATTCCTGTACCTTTTGGAGTTGACATGAACGTAGAGTACCTATAGGAACCTGGGATTGTATTTACCTTTACTATATCCCCGACCTTCTTAGAGCCAGTAATTAGACCCCACAAATTCTGGGGGTTTAAACCCGCCAATACAATGCCACGGTTGGTGGGAATTAGAAATGTGGTTGTTGGAACTCCAGGTGCTGACGTGTCGCCCTCTGCATAAGACGGAAAAGCAGTGGAGAGGAGAATAGAAGGATGAGCTCATATCAGAACCGTTTCCCGCCGTTGACTTAAATACACAATTTACAAGCACAAAGCAGCACACGGGTCAAAATTTACTTCCATGGGATTAGGTCCGCATATAAAAAGCGTATAATTAACCAAAACACATACCGAGCTCCTTAATCGCTCGTTTCAGAACGAGAGCCATGACCCGGTACTTCCTCGGCCGTTTCGCTAAGGCCTTCCGTAGTTGCTTCATCTCCCCAACGAATTGCTTCCACGTGCACACGGTACCACCCGAGCCGACACCAGGAACAGGAATCGGAAAGGGAAAGGGTAAGAGACCGCCTGCGACTTGGCCTAGGAAGAGGAAAGCCAGCGCTGCTAGGATTGGCAATCGTGACGCCATCTGAGTGGAACACGGGCCAGAAGGACGGACGGCAGTTGACCGTGGTAGTACGAAGAAACGTCTACTGGTTCAGACAAAAAAAAGTGCTGGATTTTTTAAGCTTTTCGTATCCGTCGTAAATCTCAAGTCATAAATGGAGGCACTACGAGGAGCCACTAATCCCAATACGATCGTCAAGAACGTGCTGATATTCCTCGCGGCGATGCACCAACCGACGCCGATGACATTCTTGGGAATACCATTCCCGAACATGTTGCTGATGTGGCGTCATTTTCAGTTTCTAGCACTGTCAAGAAATAACTAGCGACGACCTTTCCGCAACAACCACCACCAACCACACCAGCACCTTTCACTCCGACCGAACAAAACAGAAAACATTTTCGAGCAATTTCGGTTTAGTCAGTTACAGTAGGGTTTAGGCAGGTCCATGTTTCCGAGATGCGCTAGAGTGTAAATTCGAGAGCTGATACATGCATAGCAACAAGCGGGGTGGCGTAGCAGATCGCCTGCGCTGGGGTGAACTCGTGCAGCGCCGCCCTAGCACCGCCATTGAGCTGTAGGCCTTGACATGGAATTTCGGAACACTTTACTTTTATATACAAAGGTTCTGGCTTAGAAGCCCTTCCTAAAAGAGTCCCATTTCCTCAACGAGTAGATTTTTCACATAAGTCCTAGGTGTATCCCCTCCTCTACAGTCCCATTTTGGCGGGAAATCTTGCATCTTGACTGAATCATTGCACGAATCAGTTCCGCAGCCAATCAGAGAACGCAAATCGAACCTGTCAGAACATTTAGAGAAACTAAAACGAAAGGAAGTTTTGATTCACTATTTCCTTTTTTGCATTGTGTTTGTCTGTTTATCTTGACCGCTCTTGTGTCGAAATCCTGTTGCGCGGTTCCCCGCGAGCTCCGACGATGCCACCTCATTAATCTCGCTTACAGTGTAAAACAAAAATGTTGTCTTTCCTTTCGGCCTTAAAAAAAATATTATTTTGTATTTTTCTGCCTGTTTGTCATGCGACACTGATCAACGCGGAGAAACGTGCGACGAGAAGTTGAAGACAGCGTAGTCCGAATGTACGTATTGTCAGAATATTATCTTATTGTTCTAGCCTGTAGTGGGGTGCTCTATAGCGAGTACAACCCTTCTAGGGTTTGCTATTTGTATCCTCATTCTTGCTAGTTCAACCCTCTTTCTTCCTTCTAACTTTTGACACGTATGTGCCAGAAAAACACGAATAGTAGCGAAGAAAAATCTCTCTTCATGCAATTGTTCTTATATGGGACTATAAGTTCCCTTTTGCCCGGGGTTTGTGAGTTTTCCACAAAGGCCCGCGGCGCGCATGTTTTTCACGTGGACTCTAACCGATAACATCTGTATTTCCAGAGTTATAACCCTTCAAACCAGACAATCTTCCATCTCAGAGTAGGCCCAACAATGTCTGTATTTGCAGAAAACCCTACCCAACCATGTGGTGTTTTTTTTGGGTTGCGTAGCAACCCTATACATTTGGTAGCACTTTTCGGTCGACTCAAATGAACAGTGCAGTTTTTGTCATTTTCCCAACGTTTAAAGCCCTCGTTTTTACGCTTTCAAAACGAGTGCTCCGAAGTTGTGGACATGACGAAAGCACTGACACAAGAGTCCCCCAAAAATGAAACCAAATGTAACCTTTCATTCCATAATCGTTGATAAATACGGCGAATGGAACAATCGGTCGTCACGAAACACAATTGACGAGAAACATCCACTGGACGTGAACGCAAATCATGTGCAGCGCATCCATTGATCACGCGCAAAAACAACGCATAACAACTAAGAGTGAATGCTAAAATGCATGGATGCTACAACAGAGATGGTTCCGGTATGCTAAGGCGAGCAACCAGGGCCTCAGATTCGTTTTGAGGTTGGCTGATTCATCAGCCTTGGTACACAAATATGATAATTTTTGAAAGTGTAATGAAATGTAACACTTTCTAAAATTTTGTATTGTGAAAAGGGGTACGTGGCCAACACAGCAAAGGTAGCGCCGAAGCGCTACTCACCCTCTTTTGCCTACAAAAGAGGGACGTGGGGACATTCGTCCCCACCCACGTTTTAATTTTCAAAATTGTAGTTCTAATTTCGTTCTCGTCCACACTGGCGAAGACTCAGTCGCTTCCGCGTTTCACTGCCCCGTCAACGCTCCTTAACGACATCCTTAAGCGCAACCTCGCAACGATGGCTCCGGTCAACCCGACACTTAACCGCGACAATTCGAATAATTCTAGCCCCGGTAACGCGGCGGAAACCTCGACTCCGGCCGTGACAACGGATCGTCGCGGCGGAAAACGTCCCGCCGAGGAAATTTCAAGCGAGGGACCCTCGGCGGTCGACCTCCTGCTCGGAGGCACCCTTCGGACCCCCCCTGAGGAACGCGCAACTGTTGTACAGTCGCGCGTGGCTGCTGCTGAAGAGCGCGTGCCTGGCAGGCACGCGCGTGCTGCGCAGAAGACGACGACCGCCGCTGACGCGGCGGTCGTCTTGACCGGCGCTGACGCGGGTCCATCCGGGCCCACGACCCAGAAACGCCAGCGCGCGGCACCCTCCGCTGACGTCACCCTGGTCAACGCCGCCCCCACCCCTTTGACCGCGCAGCAACTACAGGCGCTGCTCTCGTTATTGCAGCAGCACGCACCGTCGACTGCAGCTACATCAGGTGAAGAAGTTTCTGCGTCAGCTAAAATCGAAAAGCAGAAGGAACCTGTCGCGGCTCCCCGCTCCACCAAAATCGCTCGCACCAACAACGCTGCTCCTGCTCCCACCCCAGCTCCGGCACCAACCCAAGCCCGTATCCCCGACGACAGCGACGACTCAGAAAATGAAGACGGTGAGGCCCCCGACAACCTTGCCCGTCGTCGCATTCTCGCACCCGCACCTCCCCTTCCCCCCCTCAACCCTTCACCCGCAGCTACTACCTTCATGCGCAAGGGAGTGCGTGACCAGGCGGAGGTGTTCTCTGCAATTCAAGCTCACCTGAGGCACGTCGAGTTCAAGCTCCAAAACGGCGACGTCGAGGGCGCGCTCTCCAACGTGGAGCAAATTGACACGTTGATCAACAAACGCTTCGAGGTGCTCTTGGTGGCGGATGAGGCCGGTTTCGAAGCGGCGGATCGGTTCCAGCTGTACCAAGCCAAGAGCGTGCTCACATCCCGCTCTTACAAGCTCGCGATAGCCGACGTGGCGGCCCTCAAGCGTGCACGTACCGGCTTCGTCCGCGGAGGCCGCCTTCCCCCTCGAGACGGTGAACCGGAAAGCAAAGGCATGCCACCCGCGGGCTGCCACGAGCCCCGCTTCAAGGGGGTGTGTTTCCGTTGCGGCCAGCCCGGCCATATGGCAAATAATTGCTCTATGGGAGGGCGTGGCGCACAAGGTCCCGCACCCGTGGTGTGAGAGGACCCATGGGGCGGCGCCCCTTGCCACTATGTCGGGGGGCGTAGGTGGATGCACCGGTGGTGCGTAGGCTGGTTAGGAGCCTTGGGGAGTAGGATAGGCCATGGGGGCCAGGGCAAGATGGCAGCCGTAGGGGCTGGTTATGGTGTAGGCTTGGCTTGTATGCCTTTGTGTGGATTAATAAAAGATTGTTGTTATTGAAAATATATATATATATATATATATACGAACAATGGAGAGAGAGAAAGGGAGCCAACACGAAACGAGAAGACAAATGGCACAACAAATAAAACATCAGCCCCCTCTTGAGGAAGGCAGCCACGGAGGAGCAATTGGCCAGGAGTGCAAGACAAAGCAAGGACCGAGAGAAGAACAAAGGAGAGAGAGAGAGAGAGAGAGAGAGAGAGAGAGAGAGAGAGAGAGAGAGAGAGAGAGAGAGAGAGAGAGAGAGTGAGAGAGTGAGAGAGAGAGAGAGAGAGCGAGGGAGAGGGAGGGAGAGCGAGATAGAGAGAGAGAGAGAGCGAGGTAGAGAGAGAGAGAGAGAGAGAGAGAGAGAGAGAGAGAGAGAGAGAGAAAGAGAGAGAACGAAGGAGGGCGAGAGAGATAGAGAGAGAGCGAGAGAGAGTGAGAGAGAGAGAGAGAGAGAGAGAGAGAGAGAGAGAGAGAGAGAGAGCGAGAGGGAGACGGAGAGAGAGAGAGAGCGAGAGAGGGAGAGAGAGAGAGAGAGAGAGAGAGAGAGAGAGAGAGAGAGAGAGAGAGAGAGAGAGAGAGAGGAACTATCACGACGACATCGTGAGGAACAAGGTCGTGGGACCAAGTGACGCAAATGCGCCGATCTCGTTGTAAGGCAATGTAAAAAAAAAAAAAAAAAAAAACCTTGCAAGGGTATTAAAGCTGATGACTGCGCAAGCAAAGTAAAAAAAAAAAAAAAAAAAAAAAAAAAAAAAAAAAAAAAAAAAACCCGGGAGTGCGGGGAGGCACGACGGCGGTAGAAGACAAGCGACATAGTTTGCCCGACGAAGTGTCCCGTATTATCTCGCATCTAATCGACCTTGGCCCTGGTCCCCCCCCACACAACCTCGGTTGCCCATTAATTGCAGAAGTGGAAGGCGAGTGGCGGAGTGCTCATTGGGACCCATACGAGCACGCAATAACGGACAACATGGTGTCCATCATGCTAATGCGATTGCGCAACAGCCTCCATTGGTGGCTATCATGGTGTGACAGCAGTCTTATCCTTTCCATCATTGCCAAAGGGTACTGGCTACCATGGAAGGGCACAGAGCCTCTCCCCTTCGAAGCGCCCAATCACGCAGGCGTTCAAGCACACATGGCATTCACCCAAGACACGGTTAGCGACCTCATCGCGTCAGGCGCCGCGATGCATGTCTCGTCGAAAGCCGCACTGACGTGCATC